ATAAAAGGTAAATTCTGCTATATCATAGTGGGAGGAAGAGTCATATCTGAAAATATAGTATGCATTTCGTGTGATGCCGTAAACGAAGACTCGCTATATAAACCCAATTCTTTCAACGTCGATCTGCCTGAATCCTTTTTTTTGTCAAATTATATAACGCAAACAAATTGTGTCCTTTTATTAATTACAGGTGCACAACAGCTACACATTAGCGTTCCACATATGTATGGTATAACAGCATTCGGTTCAAATGGAGCAAGGTCAGCCGGTTCAAATGGAGCAAGAACAGCCGGCTCAAATGGAGTAAGATCAGCCGGTTCAAATGGAGCAAGATCAGCCGGTTCAAATGGAGTAAGATCAGCCGGTTCAAGTGGAGCAAGATCAGCCCTTTCAAGTCCGAGCGGGTAAGTATGGAAAGCTCTATGATTAACAGGAACAAACAGTACGTTTATTCTAATTTTTATGGTAGATGAATGTCCATTTCAGTACATTGTTGTAATACTAATTTACTTCTTATTTAAAATGTAGAGAACCACGAAAAGCCAAAATTAAGAAAAAAGATGAGGACAAAATGAGAAATGATCACGGAAATAACATGCTTTTGATCCTGGTTGATAAAATTTCAAAGAAAAAAGCAAAAGTTGTTGATGACGAAAATTAAATCTTTTTATGCTAAAAGCATGGAAAAGATCACGGGAAAAAGTGTGTAATATATCCTGGTTCATCTCTTTGACTAGAAAACATGGTTTAGATCTCGAAAATTGTACATGTCGTACAATGAAGTAGCGATCTAATTGGTCGAAATGTAGTCAGAGTTTGAAAAGAATATTAGCATAGTCGTTAACTAAAAATGTATACGTTATATACCGTCATCAAGGAAAGATATCACATGTACTTCTTTATAGTAGCACAATATTAGCATATTAACGTTACCTTATAATACTCAAATGTCTTGCTAAAACTGTTTAGTAATCTCTCTTGCTGTTACTAAAGACAATATTTCAACAAAAGATCATTTTTTCGTAATTTTTTCACTTTCACTTTCTTGCTTTCTATATCTGTGTCTATATATGCGTAGAAAAGCGGAAAAATGAAACAAGAAAAAAAATTACACTACAAGCAGAACGAATAAAATGCGGCATGTTTGAAGTTGAACGATGAATTATACTGTTGAATACAGTGGTATTCTAACTGGGACTGCTAAGATCCCATTTTTGCGTGTATCCCGACGAGATCTTTGCGCCGTGCAACGTAACTCGTCACGCTGATTGTGAATATGTAAAAATCCCAAATACCGTTTCTTCAGAAAAAATCATCAAATTTTGATGTCTTTCTTAACCATGAAGTGAAAGGAGATTTTGATAAAAAAATAAAATTTTTTCCTTTGTTAAATAACAGTTTAATAAACAGATGGAGTTTTCTTCAGCTTAATACTCTTCGTTCTATGGTGCGAGAAAAATGTTGTTTTGCAAATAGTGTATGACACTTTGGCATCATTTTAGACACACACTTGTATAAATTCATTAATTATACATAACTATTTATCAATTAACAGAACATCACTGTTCAATTAATATATATAACAGGAAAAAACAAGTATCGCTCAAAAAGCCTTTCTCTTAGGAAGCACATCAAAATGCAATCCATTCAGTTGATCGTCTTTCCTCTATTGCATAATCTTCCTTTTCCTTAATTCCACTATGCATAGAATATCCTTGTTCCTCTATTTTCCTGTTCCGCTACTAGTCCGATTAGTCGCTATTTCTCTATTATATTAGGGAGATTGCGCAGTCTTTATTGCAGAAAATTTTATTTAACGATTTCTTATATTGGAAATGATTTCTTATTTTAACAAAACATCTATCCAGTATGACGAAATAAAATAGCAATAATTAAAGGATAGCTATTTCAATCTATACTACACGTCTGACAATAGCTTGTCTTCGAAAAAGGGACCTGTCTCTTTTTCGGAATTGTCACAAAGTTCAAGCTGCAAATATAACGATGTTGCCTGCTACGAAAAGAAGTCAACAATCTACTTTTTGTATCAGGGGAGAGCACACAAATAATTTCTATACAAGTAATGGTGTCCTCTCAGTTCGTCCCAAATTGGCCTTGTAAGATCAAACAATCTTCAATAAAATTGATACTTTATATCTGCTAAATTTCAAGTATACTGAATAACAGCAATGCTCGATACAAGCTATAGATGGATATTCTTTTTCTCCTTTTGTTCGTTCACCACGATAAAATATGAAAAGAGAAAATGGAAAGAAAAACATGTAATATATACTCCATTAGAAAATTTAGTGCTTGCTCCGCGCTGAACCAAATTGGATAAAAGTTGAGCACCAGGTGCAAAATTTGTCGGTCAATCCGACAGCGGGCTCCTTATAATTACATCTTCACTTCTTTTTTGGCGTCGGCATAATCAACGTGCTTTTTGCCTAAATTTTATTTTTCTCGTTTGGACTACCAGACAAATTAAGAACAATCCAAATTTTATTAGTTATCAACTCATTAGCAATAATTTTCATATCGTCATCATTCATTGACTCATAGAATAAATTTACTGCTCCTTTAGTTTTGTTATCATCTATGAAGTTTTGTAAGCATTCATTCTGATATGTTAACGGCTGTTGTTCGCCCAGGGTAATTAATGGAGGCGTATTTTGATTGTTTTCCATCTTATTCGAACTATGAATATGGTTGATTTTTGTTTATCGTTTATTTTCAGAAGTAAACGTCTTTTGTTCTAGTAGAATGATAACGCTACGAAGAATGAAGATGAGTGAAATGTATGCATACACTTATTATAAGTTTTTCTTCTGTCTGTATTTTCTTTAAAGACAAAAACAATGCTTGCTGCCTTATCGCAACATATATACCTATTCAATGTAAGAACAGAGCAAACGAAAAAATAATATCTGTAAGTCAGAGTGATTGTTCTGATTTATGGCAGAAAAACTTTTCTTTTTCGTACATTTCGATTTCTTCCATAGCTGGGCGAATTTCCTTTACATAGAAATTTTCAGTTTGTTGTAGTGTTCTGTTAGGCGCCAAGAATTGTCAGATACTCAGTAGAACAGAAGGACATTTTAACTTATGTATTTTTGCTGCATTAATGCAGTATAGCACAAAGGAAGTTGTAGAATAAAACAGACTAGAATACCAGAGCAGTAGAATAGTTGAATAGTAGTAGAGCAGGATAATAAGCTGTGACGTTGATGATTTAAATCATGGTCTGAGTCCAAAGTTCATACTTGGATTGAAATGTCTACTGAAAATAGTTGAGACCACGTCGCTTTTCCGTTTGCGTTTTAACATTTTCGTCAGAGTTTCCGGAAATCAGAAAGTAAGATCTTGGAACGGCGTTTGTTATGTGGATGCCGAAGAAGGCCTAATGACGTGACGCGTGTTATTTAAGAATCTCGTCATNTAGTGGAATCCTTCAATACCCTCCTTTAGTATCCTTTAATATTGTGGTATGCCATAATTCGTCTGCAGTCCTGTGATTGTTGCGGATGTTTATGTATGTTGCAGCAAAGCTCTGTTTTTATACCATGGTGCAACTTGTACGCGTCAAACAGAGAGCAGTTTTCTTCTACATGTCACGGCTTCGGAACCGTGCGATTCCTCGCCCTAAAACCTCACTCTATTCCATAACTAAGAAAGCCCCATTTTATGGAAATTAAGTTTCTGTGTGTTACTAAAGGCCCTTAGAGACAAAACTGATGCAGGATAGATAATCGATCATGGTGAATCAGATCATAACCGCCAACGACTTACACACTTAGAATCTAAGTGAAGGGACCAGACCCTCGAAGTTTGATACTTTTGGTAACGTCAAAACACATCCCCATAAATGAAGTCAACTATGCTGATCACGAATATCACCTTTAAAATTCTCCAAAGTCAATCGTTCGGGTTGGATGTAATATTAATTAAGAGGTGAAAAATGTGATTATCAGTTGGATAGAAAGGAATTTCTTCCGGCCAAACGAATGACTTTGGAGGAGTTTCAAGGTGATATTCGTGATCAGTAGGGTGGACTTCATATATGTATATGTACGTTGGCGAAAATAAAAATAAAACTTTTTTTCAGACTTCGAGCTGTGGTTCAGTGCAAAATTGTGTTCAAAATTAACCCCGCCTGCTTTCTTAGTGAATCAGAGCTCGTTTCGTAGCCGCGATCGAGTTCTATAAGTGGTGAAAGGTTGATGTTGTCGCAGTACATCCGGTGAATAGGAGAAAATGAATACTGAAAAAACTCTATTCCGCAAAACTGAAAAACCGAGTTTTAGGTTCTCAGGTTCGATTAGAAGTTTTATTACAAATACATCGCTAGATGCAGCTCAACGAGCCCTCTCGAATGAGTCGTTACTCGAGAGAATCAGGGAAGAATTGAAAAAGTTACATTCGAAATACGTCTTTGTCAAAAAAGTGAATCTTCATTTTGGGGCTCTTTTTGTAAATTCTGCCAAAAATTGAGGGTTGACTTTCAAGGTCTCGGAGACAAAGTCACATAGCTATTTTTGCTTAGAGGATTTTATAAAAATACTTTGAGGCAAATCGATTTTTCGTCATTTCCCACCGTCTGTACGTAATGCTTGATTTCCTCTCGAAAGCTATCTTAAGAAATTTAAGACAGAATACACCTGACCTGTCCACGAACCCAGGTTCACTTGTCTACGGAATATTTGGTTAAAAACTTTTACTGGGTCTCCAAATCAACTCAATAGTTCGTTTCTCGTGTGCAAGCGTTTCATCACTTCACAATTTGAAAACAAAAACATTTCCACATATATGTGTGGTAGAACTCTCATAGGTTGACCCACAGAGAGTTGTTTGAAGGTTTGCTATCGTACTCATTTTCTTTAAGTTTCAAAAGCATAACGTCACTGGAAGCTGAATGATCAACTTTTCTATCTTCCAGGTAAACCTATGGCCGCCACCGGACAATCCTTGAAGCCATCAACTGGCACACGTCCGTCAGCTTCAGCAGGAAAAACTCTAGAGACGACTACAGGCGTTGCTGCTGTTAACGGCTTGACTGACAACTCCGGAGATCAGCAGCGCAACAATCCTGGTAAGAGGAGAAGGACTCGAGTACTATCTGCCCAGTAATCATTTCAACACACTATGTGATTTAATGTTAGGGGCAAATTGGCAGATGTTAATAACTTCCGTCAATCAGTTTCGATACAGAAAATAAAGGACGTGGGCGGATAGGGGGGGATAAGGCCCTTTTCCCAACCCCAAAATTTTCGGCTTTTTGCATTATAATGGTGCCAGGGCATGCCTAGGAACATTTCCAGACACTGTTTTTTTCGGACCACGCACAGTCAGGTTTTTAAGGCCTGTGGTCCCCCTCAGGGTTCTGTTCGAAAAACTTTTCATTTTTGTCTTCTCCCAAATACATGTGGACATATGTAATCGAATATGCTGATCACGAATATGAAAACGAAAATCCGTGGAATCTTTTCGTTTAATCAAAAACTTGAAATTACATATTTTTCCAAAAACGTTGAAAATTCGGTATTAAGTTCATTTGTTCCCCAAAATATTTTACAAAGTAAAATAAAAGGACACCAAACGACACAGAATTCTGCGCTGAATTTTTTTGGGAGTGCTTGGNACCAAACTCTGAATATTTCCAATAGATGTAACTTTTTGAGGGCGTTCCACCTCTGCACTTGACAGTTGAAAAGGAGATGCTGGTCATGGTTTTTCGAGGGTCTTCTCGACAAGATTCTTCGGGGTTTTTGAGAATTCTGGTAACGTAATCGTGATCAGCATGCTCGATTATCTATTTGGACATGTCTTTATCCAAGGTCAAGACTCAAATCCACACAGAGGAAAAAATCACAGTTTACGTTGTCGTTGCCGTTCAGCAAAAGTACGATTTTCTCTTTAGTTCAGGTTAAGTGTTGATATCGGATACAGACATGTGCAAATAGGTAATCGGGTGTGCTGATTACGATCACATTATCAGAACTTTCAGAATCTAAAAGGATCTTGGCGAAAACCCCTGGAGTCCTTTAGAAAACCATGGCCCGCACCTCTTTTTCAGCTTTTGAGTTCACCGGTGGAACGCCCTGGAAAAGTTACACCTATTGGTAATATTCAGAGTTTGGTGCAAGATTTCCTTCGGGCCCATTTAGGGACAGGCCTAGGAACAAAAACAAGTTTCTAGTCGTATATCGTGAATAATTTCTCACTCGAGGGCCCCAGTTCGATTTCAAAAAGGAGATTGTATGCAGCTCAGAATTCTGCGTGGAAGAGTGTCCGTTTATATGGATTTGAAAAATATGTTTGGGGAAAATGGAATTTAATACAGAATTTTCAATGTTTTTGAGAAAAGTAAGTAATTTCAAGATTTTGAGCGAACAAAAAGGTTTCATGAATTCTAGTTTTCATATTCGTGATCAGCATGATCGATTACTTACGTCTGCAAGTATTGGGGGGAAAACAAAAATAAAAAGTTTTTCGAAAACCCTGAGGGGGACCACAGGCCTCAAAAACCTGACTGAGTGCTGGTTAGAAAAAGAGCATTTGCAAATGTTTCTGGTTATGCTCTGACACTATTCCAGTGCAAAAAACCCGAAAACACCTTCGCGTGGTTTTGAACATTTACGTAGAGACTCTTGAAGAAGCCAACGAAAAGATTATGAAGGCCATAATTGAATATATCAGTGATTGAAAGGAACGCTTCCAGAAGCCGCTTGGCTTTTTATTATCAAGTGGCTACGAGAATCGACACCAATGAACGAGTTTCATCTTAATTGTACATTGCAACGACGCATCGTACAAGTCGATGAACTCTTTCATTTAATTAGTGGAAATGGAGCGAACGAATGGAATATTCTTATTCGAATCGACGCTGATACACCAACGAAAGATGCACCACATATGGGTTATGAGATCTACATCAATGGTCCAAGAGTGCAATCAGGCCATGCGCACGGTGTCCGCCCGCAAATTGGACGACCTGGACCGCGCGTGGAACTTCCAGAGCACATCGAAGCAACGGGAGAGGGAGGCATGGTAGACAAGAAAGGAATCCGGAATGGAAAGGGTCAATGGGTTTCAAAGAGCTACAGATGTCCTTAATATACTTGACTTTTTCTACTGCTGAACATTTTCCTTATCTTATCTATCTATATATATATATATATATACACATGTGAATTAATAAAGGATAATTTTAGCCAGCGTACCTGTAGTAATATGTCTTTTTTTTGCGTTACATATGCAATTAGAATGCTTATTTTTTTACTTCAACGATATGCGTGGTCAGCTAACGGAAGGAAGTATACTATTCTATTCAGAAAATTCCGAGACAATTTTTTGTTGTCCGATAAATCAGAAGGCTATTGTTATTCTGATGATTTCGTGATTCCATCGAATACGTCCCACTTTTGAAACAACGTTCCCTAAACGTTTTCGAATCCCAACACATGGCTCGGAACTGGAATTTAAGCTGGAGAGTTGATTTTCAGTTCATGAACAAAAATGAACAAATCGTTGACGATTTTATTAATAATGAAATTGAACAAAGTTTTCCCCGCGCTGCACTGATCGTAATTCCATATGGTAAAATACTGAAACAAACTGTTTATGGTTACAAATTAAAATATAATGAAAATGAGACATTGATAGAACAACCAGAGTTGTTAACATTAGATTCAATGTTTGATTTGGTATCATTAACTAAAATGTATGCAATCAATTATGCTCTTATGCATCTAATAGCGCAAGGAAAACTCAGCGTTGATGATCAAGTTACAAAGTATATACCAGAATATTCTGGATGTAATCCTGAGAATGAATGTCGTGAAACAAGATTAATAAAAGATATATTGACACATACAGCTGGATATGCTCCAAGCGTTGAGTTTTACGATCCGAAACTAGTTTCACCAGATTTATACTCTCAAGATAAGAGTAGAACAGAGCAAATTATTGAAATAAAATTAGCATTTCAACGCGCTAGAGATGGTGATCAATTCGCAGTTTATTCCGATACCGATAATTGACACAACTATTCAATTTGTCGAAGATAATTCCGCTCTACATCATAGAAAAGATTTTCCA